TCCAAAATTGTAAGCAATAAATTTTGTTTTCTTATAAATCACCCAATTCCAGATATTTTGTTATAAGCAACAGAACTGGACTACAAGGGAGGAGGTCATACCAGGTAAAGAGAACAGTCTGGGCAAAGACCTGAAGAGAAATCCCCTTCTAGTCATATACCTGAGAGGACACAGATAAGACAACACTACAGCCTTGTTTGTCATGGTAAATGACAAGAAACAACTTCTGTGTCCATCCACAGGAGGAGGGACAAATAAATTGTGGTATATTCACACAATGGAAAATACTCAGCAGAGAAAAAGGAAATGACTAGAGAATCATATAGCAATCAATGTGGGAATAACTCAAAATGTATATTAAAGAAAGAAGGCTGCAGAATGTTAGGTACAAAATTTGTATAAAGGTTAAACATTATATATTGCTATGGATCTATAATTTCATGATGTTTTTATTATATCATTACATGTTAGTAGTCACTTTATATCTCCATAATGTTTTCATGTGTAGCTGGGACAGGATACGCGTCTGCAGGGGAAGTGAAAAGAAGGAACAGGTTTTAGATATGCTGTGATTTAAAAAAAAAAAAAGGATTTGATGACTGGGGCTTAAAGGAAGGAAGAGGTAAAGGAGAAAAATTTCACTCTTGATTTCAGGGAGATTGGTCACACAAACAGCAGAACCAGGTATATCAGGAGGTTTGATTTTAAGCACACAATGTTTAAAGTGCTGACGGAGATATACAGATGGGTATAGTGAAGTTTTGGTTGAGGTTAAAAGGCATGAATTCATAGTGGTTTCATAATGTGTTATGACCTTCCATAGCAGTACCCAGTACTGGTGAGGAAAAAAATGAAATTATGTTTAATCAAGGTGGGGCTAGACAGGCAGACCCAGCAAAGGTGTGGGAGATGGAGGGTGAGGAGTGCGGCCAGGGTAAAAGGGAAATGGCTGGCACTGGGTCAGGTTTGTGTTGGGATGGCATGGGGCCAAATGAGGCCGGTGGACTGAGAGAGAAGAGGGGTTGCAAGACTGGAGGTTTTGAGCCCAAAGAGCAAACTAAAGAGGTATGAGGAAATATTACAGGTGGACGTCAGGAGGGTTGTGATCAGAGAGGAGGAATTCCAGCCCTTTTGGAGCTAAAGTAATTCCGAATGATAAATAACCACTACCTGCAGAGAAACTGCAGCCTAGGCAGGTGGGTAGTTGTAATACAATGGAGACGAAAGCTGTAGCTGTGTGATAGTTCACAATTATTGATTGATCTGAACTAAGTAGATTGACTTCTCAAATGCAGCTCCTCTATGAAATAACTAATGACTTTAAACCAGACCAGCTACTGACTATGAATTACTACTTCAAATTGTGGAAAAGACCACACCAGGAAGTGGAGCAGGGTCTTCAGGAGTACCCTTAGGACAGCCCTCAAAGAACATCCTGGGAGAGGAGGCTCCAGATAGTGCTCCTGGGTCATTGCAGTGAGACAGGATTCCTACTCCATCATCAGCTCAGAGGCAGGCAGGTACCCTCTTCTTATCTATAGAGCTCTCTTTTTCATTCATGGTTGATAGACTTTGTTTTACTGAGACACAATCAGCTGGACTCTTGGGATACAGGAGTCAAGAGCAGTGAGGTCTGCCCATACAGTACAGCTTATTTGGTTTAGGGCTTTGAATAGGTCACCTAAATTCTTTGTGCCTCCATTAGTCTCACAATCAAGTAACACAGACTAAAAATTTTTCAAATGTCTTGAGTAACTTCCTTGAGCAACGCAACAAATTTCACAATTTAATGTAAAGGAAGACACATGTAGAGCAAGTTACAGCATAGACTGAATGTTTGTGTCCTCCCAAAATTCATATGTTGAAATCCTAACCTCCAATGTGAGAGTATTAGAAGTTGGGGCCTTTGGGAGGTGATTAGGTCACCTACATGAATGGGATTAATGCCCTTATAAAAGAGACTCTGGAGAACTCCTTTGCCTCTTGTCATGTGAGGACACAGTGAGAAGGTGACCGTGTGTGAACCAGAAAGGGGCCCTCACCAGGCACCAAATCTGCTGGTGCTTTTGATCTTGCCCTTCCCAGCTTCCAGAACTGTGAGAAATAAATTTCTCTTGTTTATAAGCCACCTAGTCTATGGTATTTTGTTATAGCATCCTGAACGGACTAAGAGAGTTTAACAGGATATGATTAATTTTGTTTGAGGCTGTTGCTAAACATCACAGAGGAGGTTATATCTGAGCCCAAATTTGAGAGAGAAGAAGGTTTGCCAGGCACAGCGGGGTACAATAATATTGGCAATGTCAAGTGTGTGGCTTGTTCAGGGAACTAGGACAGTCTGTTCTGCCTTTTTCTATGCAACGAGAATAAAAAATTAGGTTTCCTAACTCTGCTCCAATGTTAATTTACATTATTTTTTCAGCCTGGCTTCTCCATTTCCTGAATCTTTGCTTAGGCATTGGTGGGCACAAAGTACCAATGGTAGGAGGTGAAAGACCAGAAATGAGCTGGTGATTAAACTCAGTTAGCAATTTAAATATTGTTATGGATAGCTACCAAGTAGATGAACCACACATAGATAAACAACATTCAACTCAGTGTTGTTTCCTTTTGAAAAATACCCCACATTTTCATTATCTAAGATCTCATAGTTTTACCTTTAGAAGCAGTCAGAGAATAGATTTATTTCACTTTGTCTTTGAACAATTATCTATTGATGCATTTTGGGACACCATTACTCTGATGGTTTACTGCCAGGAGAAATAAAGGATGGGTAAGTCAGTGTTCCTGCCTCAAGGAGCTTGCAAGTCTAACAGGCAGGAGAGACACAGCTCTCTGCACACACAGCAGTGAAGTAACACGCGAGTCCAAACTTAACAAAATGTGTGCAATAGCTAGATGAATGTTCAGGGAGAAAAGAAATCAAGATACTCTGGAGAAGGCTTCGTGGAGATCTGAAATGAACTTGGGAGTATCTAAGGAGAAACTGAGAATGAAGTGTCTTGCTTGACTCTGAATAAATAAAAAGGCTGGGTCTTTGGGCCACCAGAAAAGTGGTGCTTCAGAAAGTTTGTGGGAAAATAGAATTAAAAGATAATACAGTCTTTCCACAAACTTTTTGAAGTACCCTTGTATTAGCCACAAAAGTGGTAACATTTACATGCTAGGGAACACAGCATTCTTGATGTGGTGCTCCAAACCCCAGCTAAATTTGTCGTTATCAGATTCTTCGGCTATGGAAAGGACATTTCTAAGATTGATAACCTGTCAGTGGAAATCGGCAGCTCTGTTCAGTGTTCGCCTGGACTGGCCTATGCCCCAGCAAGTTTGCAGATCAGTGAAGCTTCCTGCCAGTGAGAGGCTAGATCAAGCTGAGAGGCTGTGTGACTAAATAAAGCCAAACCACACCTAATGAAGCCAATGGTTACATTCATATGGAAGACCCAGGGAGATTCCTGTCCATAGGCTTTAATTAACAGGGATTTTAGAGAGCAGAGTTTACCTTTACCCAAACAAGAAGTCTGGGAAGAAAAATGATCCTCACACCTACCTGACCCGTTGATTGGCCTTAGACTGCTCAATGTATTCTTCTAAATTGTTCCCAGGTCCCAGGTCCTCTCAATTCTCCCATCTGACGGATTAAACACAGATACTATCCACTCCACTTGGCAGGTACATTCCGTGTCTGTAATGATGCATTTTGAAAACAGTACCTGTTCAAGTGAGATTAGTTGATACGTGGAAGGTATGGGAAGTGACAATAAAGAACAGTCAGGAATAGAGGGTTCCAGTTGGAGAAAGAAAAAAATGCACTTGGAGGAAATATGCTCAGCTCATCTTCCCCAGGGGCACAGCAACAAATTAAGGCCATGTTTTCTGTATCCTCCTATGAATATTATAGGGAACCACAGAAGAAAGGATTCAGAGGTGGAGAGGTCACTGAGTCCAGAGGGTGACAAACATTCCTGCCACATCTGTGACATATGTGTGTACCTCACCTTTTTTATAGGCAGGGTTCAGCCATGCCATGAAGCCACATGGTCAGGGATTGAATCAATTATTAAGGCCATTTGGGTTTGAGTCCTGTGGGGAAAGTCCTTTGACAATATTGTATATACTGGCTTTCCCAATCTAGAGAACATGATTGCTGCATTAACAGTAAATGTTTTTTCCCCTTTAAACCCCCCATGTATCAGTCTGTTTCTGTTGCTTATTACAGAAATACCTGGAACTGGGTGATTTCTAGGAAAACACAATTTATTGCTTACAGTTTCAGAAGCTGGGAAGTCCAAAGTCCGGGGAATACATGTGGTGAGGGTCGTCTTTGGTGATAGCTTTATAGCAATGCAGGGGTCTCACATGGCAGAAAATGGAGGAGCAGAGAGAGAGAGAAATAGCTGCTCATGCCCTCTCCTTTTAAAGCCCTCAGAACCATGCCCCTGACCACCATTATTAATCCATTTACTATGGCATGGTCCCACAGTCAAATCTCCTCTTCAAGGCCCCACCTTTCAATTACCATAATGGGATTTCCCACCCTCTTTACACTGTCACAGTGGTGACTGAGTTTTGAGGGGACATCAATCCACACCACCCCCCATGACCACTGGCTTCCATTATGGCAAGTATTAGGTTACTAGGTTAATCCTAATAATTTTATTAGTATAGTATGCAAACTACTTGAATTCAAAATCCAAAGAACAATGAAGTATGTATGTATTCTTTTATAATGCTTGGGTGTTTTTTGAGAGGAGTCTTACCATCCATTTTGCCAATTAATATGTATTACCAATTTCTGCATATTTATGACAAATATTTCCATTGCAGAATGGCAATAACCTTATTTTTTCACTTACAAAAATAGTAAATGTTCATTGTTAAAAAGTACTGTAATGATATTATCTACCCCTATTGTTTTGGTTATATGCACTTCCATACTTTTTCTGGGCCATATTTGTTCACTTACAAAAATAGGACACATACTTTCAATTTATTTTTCTTGTAACAATGTCTTTTATTCGTTTTTTTTATTCAGCAGATCTTTTTTCAGCTTGTATGATGTTCTAGTCAGTCACTGTTCTAAAGGCAGGGGAGACTACAGTGAAAAACAATGGAGCACACATTTATCAAGTGCATCTTTCTATAACAAATGTAAATATACTACATAGTTATTTTAGTAAGTGTATAGTATTCAATTGCATAGATTTATCATAATTTACTTAATTAAATCTTCTATTTCTGGATGTTGAGATACTAACTGGATGTTTGTTAGATTTTGCTAAATACTCATATGGGGGAAATATGCATTGACCAATTGGTGAGTCTGAATCTATGTTAAAATTATCCCTGCTAGTAACAGGATTCTGCTGGTAGTGCTATTCTTTAAAACATGACTTTAGAAACTAATATGATTCTTGGCAGATATGGATATAAAGATTGGTGTAGGCCCAGTGGTCTCTCACTTGATAGATGATGGTGGAGATCCTGGAGGTGTCTGAGACTGTTTCTAATTCCACCCGTCTCAAACGCTGCTCAAACACAGTTCCAGTCCTTGTAAATGGACACCAAGTTGTCACTTGACTGCTGATCCTTCTAAGCCATTTATGCAGTGATGTGTGAGGCTGGGTTTCTGTGGATTCTGGAAGCATTTCTTTTGCTTTCTTTGATAGGAATCATCACTCTTTTGTTCTCTGTCCAACAAACAGCAGGCCATCTTCCTGCCATCTGTGTGAGTCCCACACACAGTGACACGAGGTGACGTCATGTCACAGGATCTGTTGGTGATTTCATTATATTATTTGATGTTCATTCAGTACCAACCAAACATAGCCCAGATGAATTACAGAGCTTGTACAGATTATACCCCCATTTTACGGACAAGGACAACGAGGCATAGAGAGATTAAGTGATTTGCCTAAAGTCACAGTTAGTGGTAGAGCTGAAACTAGAAGTCAGAACTAATTTCTCCTCCAGTGTTCTTCCCAGGGAATTGGCTATTCTAAGTTTGTGGTAGGTTCACACAGGGTCCTTATAATAGGTCAGAGAGCACCATTGTTTTATAGAGCTTCTATTTGGCCTCCAGATAAAATATCTTCAGTACCAAACTATGACAGTTCCCCAAATATGGAGCTTTTATTTAATTTTCCACTTTGTTTATCTGGGAGAGGCTTTATAGATAGCATGCTATATGTGTAGCAGACTTCAGTGGTTATTCCCAAATGTCAGTGTGCTTTCCACCAGCAGGCCGATAAATGACCTCAGTTTTTAGGTTTATGAATGGAACATCTCACTGAACTAGTTCTACAAAGCCAGTCATTATGAACCATGTCTCTTTAAGATGAAAGATTACCATCAGGTTTATGATCACGTTTATCTGGGCTATGGATTTATTTGGATTGTCTGATAGCTTTCACTCAGATTTTGTGGAAATCATGTTTTCTTATCTTGGAAAATATTGGAATCTGATTTACAAATAAACTCAGTGGCAAAGAACTGAGAAACTGTAGTATTGATTGTTTTTGTAAACCAACTGTAAATTATCTTTGTTAATGGCACAAAGCAATTAATGGCTTTTTCTTTGTTAATGGCAAAAAGCAGCAAGTCTGAAGTTGTATATCATCAGAAAATATCGGGATTTAGTCTTAGAGTACATGTTTTGAGGGCATAGTGGTTAAGAGTCCACATTCTAGGTCGAACTACTTAGGTTTACCTCCTGGATCTGCTACATACTGTGTAGCCTTGGGCAAGTTACCTAATCTGTCTGTGCTTCTATTTCCTCATCTGTAACATGGGGATAATAATAATAGTACCACTGCTAGGTTATTGAGAAGATGAGAAGGTTAAATGAACTTATATTTGCAAAGCACCCAGAACACTGTCTGTCTATTTCCTCATCTGTAACATGGGGATAATAATAATAGTACCACTGCTAGGTAGCTATTGAGAAGATGAGAAGGTTAAATGAACTTATATTTGCAAAGCACCCAGAACACTGTCTGTCATATGATAAACACCATATAAATGCTATTATTCTGACATTTTCATTCCACTCATTAATTTCTTCAATAATGATTTATTGGAACATCTCCTAGGTGCTAGGCACAGTGTGCTAGATAAGAAAAAGATTTCAGTCCTCAAAGGATTTTGCAGTTTAATGGGCAGACATATGATGTGAGCCATGACGCTGTAGGTATATAACCAGGAAAGTGTGTAATGGAGGACTATGAGTACAGTGGCAGTATAAGCAAGGGAGCACCTGAGGGGAAGGCTTCACAGGGGACATGTGAGCTGGGACATAAAGGATGAATAGAAATTGGACAGAGGGCATCAGCAGCATGGGCATTCTAGTCATGCAGAGAAGCACAAAGACCTCAGAAGACGGAATGACTGGAATACAAAATAAAGTAGCAGAATGGGGGATGGTTCGGGGACAGTTGAGACACTCAGGTAGGGACCAGAAAGTCCTCTGTCCTACAGAGGTTCCTGTGAGAGATGATGACCCATGTTCAGACAGTGGTCATGCCACCTTGAAGCCCTCACTGTGAGGGAAGCCAGCAGATGGAGGAGGTGGCAAGAAGCAGCAAGGGCAGTGGGCGTACCTGTCATACACAGTGAAATCTGTTCCTCAGGAGATTGGAGACACTCCCAGGTGCTGTTCTGCTCATCCATGCAGCTCCTGTCTGAAAGTTAAATGGTTATTTAGGAGCACTTGACATATATTTTTACTATATTTTCAGGGAATCACATCAATCACCAGAAAGATGTCATTTCATTGTTTTATTTAACATTGCTGAAAAGGAAATGCCTTCTAGGTAGCTTTCATCAGTCAAATCTAGGTCAATAAAACCAAACATTCAGAATATTTATTTAGTTCTGTAATTTCCTTTTAAAAAGATCACCTAAATGCACAATTTTTGGCTAAAATTTCAAATTATTGCCATAAACAGGATTTACCCTACGTTTCTCTTTCCATTTTTCCTTATCTTTAATTTTTCTAAATAATTTGACATAAAGCCTTAAGACTGGACCTACATAGTTTAAGTCATGGTATAACATATTATAACACTTTTTTATAAATGTTAGATGAATTCATGGTACAGATAACCATATTCAATAAATAAGAGTTTTTCATCCCAATTTCATTATAATCTGATTCTAGTTAAAAACTATTTAAAGGAGTTGGGGGAGGGAAATGGTGAGGATTTCCAGAAGTGTAACAAAAAATTTCTATTCCTTCATTTTAATTTAAAGTTAATGATAAGGTAGACTGTGTGTGTGTGTGTGTGTGTTAACTAATACCTTTCAATGAGTTCTTTATTCCAAATATTACTAGGACTTTAATGGGCATGTTTTGCCTCTTGAAAGTACTATTCCATTACTGCCTATTTTATTATTATTATCTTTTTTTTTTCCTGAGACAGGAAAAAAAACAGTAGACAGACAGGTAATCACCTCCCACCCACCCTATGAGGACAATGACAATATGTAGTTGAATGTCTCAGGCATGGCCACAGAGCTAATGGAGTCGAGCAGATATTAACAGCCAGACTTCCCGACTCCCAACCCATTACTTTTTTTTTTCTTTCAACCTTGGAAACAGTTTGGGAATTGAGCAGGAGAAAATTGGTGCCATATGTCTGGGCCCAAAGAAATCTTCATTCAGTACATAATTATTAGGTATCTTCCATATGCTGTATACTATTTTTGACACAGGGACTTCCGCACTATATAGTCCGGGACGCTTAAGGGAGCTTGTGGCTAATGGGGAAGTGAGCAGACTAAACCAGTGATCATGGCCCCAGGAAAGAAGCGTGCTGGGGAAAGCAAGGCCAGGGTATGGTGGGAGCTGGGGAAAGTCCCAACCCAGTTGGGCAGAGCTGGCTTCT